TCTTTCGTGAAATTTTCTTTAATGATGTTTAAATAACTAGAGAGTAGTGTGATTTCATGTCGTACTTTCAAATGTTTAGATGTTTCTGTCGGTGAGACATTTGTTATTGGGATTTCGTTTTCTAATATCGAAATATAACTATATATTATTGCGAAAACTTCATTGGTGAATATGGAGTTTGCTCTTTGTGAGTTATGATATTGGATGCTTTTTATATATTCTGAAAAAACTTTTGAAAATTCTAAATCAAGATCGTCTGTTTGAATTGTATATTTTCTATTATTATGGTTTGGTGAGGTGAATTCTATGGAGTAGATTCCATACTGTTGTGTTATGTTGCATATATCTTTTAAGTAGTGGTCTATGATTTGTCTTTTGATTTTTACATCTGGGAACTCTGTTTTACATGGACTGATTCCGGGTTCAAATAATTTTAATAGTAAATTTTTGCAAAATATATGCTGTCCTCTATCAGTGGTTGCATCTACTATAAAAGGAAAGATTTCATCATCATCTGGACTTTCTTCACCTGGGGTGTGCGTTGAGCTCATTTTTTCGTTCGATGACTGTTAATATGTAATTATTAATGTGTCGAATTGGTTGATTCCAATTGTATAAATGTACTGGTTTGTGTTTATACTGCTTTTTTATTCTTCTTTTTCCTCTTTTTGATGAATTTGAAGTTGTTTCTGAGTCAGAAAAATATAATTGATCGTGAAGTGGGCAATTTTTATCTATTGATTCTTTTAGTTTGTAAAGTTCGTCTAAACTGTTGGTTTCTGATTCTGAAAATGCGTTTCGATTTTTTGAAAATCTTTTTCGTGTTATTTGTCTTTGTTTCGTTATTATTTTTCTTTTTAGTGTTTGTCGTTTTGTTCGAATGTATCCAACTGTTTGTGTATGAGGTGTGATTACAAGGTCGTATTTTTTGTTTTCTATTTCACAATTGTGTAAAACGATTGTTTGTTTATTTCCTAGGTTTTTAAATGACATAAGGTTTAGGATGACGGATGCAAAAGGTTGTAAAATGGTTTCTATTTTCCTAAACTGTTAGTTCTTACGATTTTTTGGTTAGCTTAACCTGGGTCTATTTGTTCAGGGTTGGAGAGAAAAGTATATCGATTCCGAAGAATGATTTTTTACTTTCTCGTGACTAGTATAAGTTAAGGTGTTAACTTACTTAATCTTACTTAGGGGTAGTGATTGTGTTCAAGGGTTGGAGAATAGTAAATCGATCCACAGGGTTCAGGTATAATTAGAACGCGAGTAGTTCGTTAGATACTATTTTAAACTTACTAAGTCTAAGATTTATCCTGGGTCTGGTAAGAGGGGGGGTCAAGTGAAGGATGAATAACCGAAGTTCTTCACTGTTTATCCTAATTTGAATGATTAGTTTTTGTTTAAAAATTTCTATTAGTCTTAGGTCTTTAGAAAGGGTTGGGTAGTGAATCGACGTTTGAGGTCGTTAGACACTAATTAAGTGGGTGGGGGAGAACAAAGTTGTTCTGTTTGATCCAAGGATAAGCCTTGATGATCAAATTTGAAATTTAATTAAGTAGAAAATGATTTAAGATCCAAGGATAAGCCTTGATGATCTGGTTTTAAAATTAGGTGATTTTAAGTTTTAATAAAATTTTAAATGTGTGTAAAGGAAAGATTTAGTGTTTTGATGATATTAGTGGGTTTATGATTGCTGTTATGTTTTAGATGATGGAGCTGGAACAACAGGATGATTTATGATTACTAACCATTTATTGTCATGCTACTAATTTTTATTTTTTATTTTTCAATAAATATTTTTCAAACATGTTTTGTATATTACTGCAGAGTTTTAAGAAAACGATCTTAGATCTTTTTATCAATCGTTATTGTATATTAATAATTTTGTTTAGCGCCTGAAATGATTTTGAAGATTAACTTCAAGGTTTTATGTTTGCAAATGAAAATCTAAATTCATTGCTAGTAGTATTCTAAATATAAAAGTTTGTTCTGGTTTTTGCCTAACTATCATATAGCTATATGGCAAGTTTCTACTTTGTCGTATGTCGTCTCTGGTTCGAGGTCTTCTTCCAATTCCGGGTAGTTCTGTTATGGTTCGGAATATTGGCTCTGATCTATTGAGTCGTAGAGACATTTCGATTAAATTATTGTCGTATAACATTTTTTAAATGTTTTTGTCTAATTTCTAATCTATTTTGGTTAATTCTAAGCTATTAAGGTCTTGTTCGAGACTTATGGTCGCACCAGATGAGTTAGGACTGGAGTGTATAACTCATAGAGTAATTTCGGATAGGGTACACCGTCTGCTCGTCACGCTATCTTATTTTCGGCCGGATAGATTCGTGCAACTTCTTAGTCTAATACCGATCCTAATCTTACTCTTATACTATCTAGTCTCAGGTTGTTTAACTAGTCTCTGCTAGGCTCAATAGATCTAGGGTATACTGGTTTATTGCGGCTGCTGAAGTGCTCGGGAGAGTCCAACTAATTTCTAAGTTAAATTCAAATCTCTCTGGTGCTGAAATTACAAGTAACTTCAGCACTTACAAATAAGTGGGTTGTTAGTTAGATGGATCATGATTGGTTAATATTAAATACTTTACATTGGTAAAATATCTAAATTATCCAATCATAAAATGTAGTCTAGATCAGGTTCCAATTATATTCAAACGAAAATGGACTATAATCAATTATAAATTATTATAATGGATTTTTCTTCGCAATTTAGCCTTACATAGCTTAATGAATCGAAGAGTATATTCATACTTAAGGCTGAAATGAGATTCTAGCCTCTTGCATTATAGTGTGAAAGGTAAATAAACAAAAAGGCTGCACTGAAAATGGGATAAAAATATATGTATATTAAATTGGATATTAAATATGGATATCAAAATTATCTTTTTTCAAATAATTCAGTCATGAAAATTTTTCTATCTCATTTCTGAAACAGTTAACACGCGTAATTTTAGGTAGTTTTATGTCTTTGTTTTTATAAACAAGAATGAAGTTATAATTTCAACATAAAAAATAGGACAGTTCGCATTTGATTGGAAGTGCAAATTTTTTCTTTAATTATGTGTTTCGAAAAGATGTATTCAAGTTCCTGACTTTCCTTCAGAATAGTCAATTGTATTTTTAGGCTTCTGGTTGAAGCTGTTGAGCTTTTCTTCAAAAATGCGCGTTACATAACTTCTCGAATCGAAGATTTTAGTCTTGCTAGTTGTTAAATTGGGATCGATAGTCTCCTGCATTACAGTGTGAAAAATAAAAGTACAAAAAGTGCTGCATCGACAGGTCCAGATCGGTCCAGATGTATCAGGTTTTCTAATTATATGTTCATGAAATTTGTCTGAAGCGTAGAGAAAAATTGTCTGAAATTTTAAGATTGAGCAGAAACTTTCCTACTTTGACAACAAAGTGATATCTTAAATTTTAGTCATCAGGAATATCGGCAGTTAACATAGTTCTTTGCGAATTGCTTTTTGATGAGTTAAAACACTGTACTGCTCTACTTGTTAAAACACTGTCCTGCTCAAAATTGCTGCAAAATTAAGCAAAATTGAGAAGTCCACAAATGAAGAAGATGAAGCAGGCATTGTTTATTTGAGCCGCTGCAGAATCTGCAACTGTGAGCGGAATTCGCAAATTATAAACAGAATCAGCTTTTTGTTTGTAAAAATAAAATTTTTAGTTACCTCCTGAAATTGAATTTTCAACTTAAATGTGTTTTTCTGGGTAATCGGCGAGGTTCTTAAACAGTTCAATCTCATTTACAGCCAACAGTTTGAACTAACCAACTAAATTTCAAATACTGAAAGAATGAACACCTTTCGTTTTCCTAATTATTGAAAAAAAAACGAACACTTAACCTATTTTACTGGTTATAATGCTGGACTGTTTATACATTTGATTTATTCCATAAATTAAAGGGGTACATCCGCCAATTTATTTGTACAATGATTAAGGATTTGTTGTTGGATTCCACAAACATTATTTAAATCCTTGCTGTCAAAAAGCACACTTGCTAAGAAATAACTCTAACTGTAGCTCCTAGATGTTCACGTAAGGAACAGTTAAGCTCAGTATAAAAAATATGACTGAGATCCACTTTTTTCGTGGAATCCGATTACACTTTTCGAAATCTGCTTACATTTGCAGAATCTGGAACTACTAGCTCCATTCGCTCGTTGCCGAAACCGCGACAAACTTAATATGTCATCAAAGTGTACGTTACATGTCTTTGTCTGCGGAATTCACCAAAACTTTCTAATTAGAATCCATTTACATTTTAGAACATGTTTAGATATTTTTTTCTTGAATCCAGGAAAATACAGACACCGAATTGTGCGCATATCCCGAGCACAGTTTGGCCCAGTAATGCTCTGGTTTTATTGATGATTCAACCAAGATCTTCTCGGGTAAACAAAAAATGGTGAACTTTTTGTCGCCTTTTCTGTTCCACGTGCTATGCGTTGTAGAAAGTACCTTTCACACAGTAACGTAGCAAATTATTAACTAAGTGTCTTATTGAATAACGAAAAGACTAAATTTTTGTGTTTTTTTTTTGTAGCAGAGCGTAAACAAAATCATAATTCCCATTTGTATGCAAGTAGCTTAATGCATTAAACTTAGTGCCCTTTCTTTTAAACTTAATTCAGATTTTGAATACTAGTGTCTCACTGGCTAATTCTCATATTTGTGGTTTGATTCCATCCACATGCAAGACGCCACCGACCCAATAGCTTGTTCTAATTCAGCTGGATCTTTTTCCAACCCAAATCAGTTCGCATCTTGTGCCATTTGGACTGAATTGCTATCTAACTAAGTAATTTTAGATCCAAAATACTGGCTGATGACAAAGATAAAGATAGAAGATTATCATCACTCTTGATAAACTAAAAAGGTCTGACTAAGTTTTAGAAGTGATATTTTGAGACATTAGTTGTCGAATACGTTGGTTATTAAAATCACTTTTGAAACTATAAAACTAGGAAGCCAGAAACGATAATACAAAACGGAACTCCGAAACAGCTGCATAATACTCATTGGTAATATAGTATCAACCATCAATCAATCAACCAATAACGACCAGTCAAGCCCCAATTACTTCACAAAAAATGATCGCAGGTCATAGATGCTTTTAAGAATTTTGGTGACATTACAAGTAAAAACGATTAAATGATAGCTATTTTGTACAATTTGGTTACCTGCGTTTTCTGAGCATTGAATGGTAAAAGGTTATGGGTTATTTAACAGAGGGGAATCCAAAAGGAGTTACATTGTTAATTACTTCACGTTCACAGTTTTTTCGATGGATTCAGTTGTATTTTTGATTTTTCTATAAATATAACCTCTCTTAAAAATTCTAAGAAAAAATGGCTGTTGTTACCGCTGTTTTGTTTTGCGGCGGAAAGAAGAACAGTTTTCCCATAAAACTTTTGAAGCACGGGTTTTGCTTGTTGTAATTTTTTTCCTCGTCGATTATTGTTCTCTTAGCAACCTCATAAATCACAAATGATAATATGTGCAGGAGATCAATGTTGTGGCCATAATTTCTGATGGCCTTGGCGAATTCTTGCAGTACATATGATCCGTTTTCATCTCGCCAACTAAGGTACGGCGAGTCGGACGAAAACACAACGAGCAGGTCTGATTGTTGGGGAACTGTTATTTTCCCTGGAGAACAATCGTTTTGTTCACAACCTAAAATATAAAGCTTGTGAACAGATTTTACGTAAACTTTGACCTCGGCATGGGCAGAAAGTAGCTTTGATTAAAATTCGAAACATTTTAATTCTGAACATGCATAGAATTTTTATAAAAAAGCGTTCGTCTTTTATACAATTGAGTTTTCAGAGGCTGTGTAACGCGTCTAGCAATAAGAATTTTGCTTTTTTTGTTATTGATCAAAGTAAAAACAAGTTGATTTTTGATTTTTCAACGAAATTTTAATAACAGTTTTTTAATTAATTTTTTTGAAACTTCAAAAACAACACAAACGTATTATCTACAATTGGTAAAATCTGTCTAAAACAAAAAAATGAAAGGACTAAAAATGCATTCTTATTTAGTAATGGCAGACCACTTTTTAAAAAAAACTAAATTACAACCGATGCACAGCAACGAAACTTAGCCCAAACCAAACAAAAACGGTTTAAACAAGGTAGCACAGGATTTTCCCACCATAAACTCAAAAAGAGCTTCAAAAAGTTTCTTTCACATCAATGTCGTTTTTTTTGTGATTGGCGTCACATCTGAACGCATGCCTAAAATTTGAACTTATACGATATAGGTACAAAAAATAGGTAAAAAAAAATAAGACAAGAAAATTATCATTTTTGTTTTAAAATTTAGTATTGGCAGGCTGGAAAAACCATATGGGTCGGAAAAAGATTGATCAAAACAGTCTGAACAGAACAATTTGACCTCGGAATGGACAGAAAGTAGCTTTGATCAGCTATTTTTTGACTTATCAACGTAAAAATCTCGTCACTACGGATCTTTGATAATTCGCACTAAAGAGGACAACTTCAAACGATAGCAATTGAGTGTACTGCAAGAGTTCGATATTTTTTTCTCGGCTAAGGCCAAAAAAGTTACACTGCTAAGGACTTACATCCTGGAGTAGCAGTTATCAAAAAAAATGTTTTTCACCGCTGCGATTTTAGCGCGTCAAGACAATATTTTCCGCGACTGAAAAAACCCTACTGGCCGTCTTGATTACAACCAAACTTTAAGCTTAGATTTTTAAACTTATGTCTTATGAAAGTTATTGTAGTTTATAAGACAAAAAATCAAGTTTCAATCTTTCGAATCAGGTACTGGAGTGTTGAAAGCTGGACAAATTTCCTCTAACGGCGCGACCGATTCTGCAATTTCAAAAAAGTTCGTGATTGGTGCGCCGGGCTTGACCGTTGCAAATTTTTTTCGCAATCTGCATAACTTATTTGATTCTGATTTGGCGAGCCGTTGAAAAGCTTTTGCAGACCAATTTTTGCTGACAAGCTTTCCTCTTTATGATACTCAGTTTTGCTTCTTATTCTGACATTGCTTCTGTTTTTTGTTATTTTCCACTCTCTTTGAAAATCAAAAAGACTTATTGTATGAATATGAAGTACTTAAGAATCAGTAGTTTTAACTGCAATGCTGCTTCTTAGACTTATGTTTGAGATCAAGTTTAGCTTCTAATTCCGCTCTGTTGATATTTATTTTCTGACTTTGCAGCGACTAATTGGCAGAATATCGCGAATAGTTTTTTAGGTGGAATTGTCCATTTTGCTATCAATAATCTCCAGCTATCGCGTCTAATTTCCATGACCATCGCATTCAAAAACGTTTTTTCTTAAAATAGCCTTGTCAAGGTTAAGGATTTTTTTTTCTGTTTTTTTTTTGTTGCAGAAAATAAAGTCTGAAAGTAATCGCGAACTTCATACCGGTGCGTTTGAGCTGAACTAGTCAATTTTTACAGCTTGGAAGAATCAAGATCTGAGAATCTTTGCTAAGAGAAGAATCAATACAAACATTAGAGATAACGTCTGTATATTAAGTGAGTCATCTGGTAGTGTCTTGGCAAAAAAACACCTTCGACTCACATTTGAATTCCGTATTAGAGCAATATATCTATTTGAAAAAATTCAAGCGAAAGCAAATTTGAACTTCGCAGTCAAATTAAGCGCCTTCATTTTGATTGCGAAGTTCCACTTTATAACTTATCGGTAATTATGTAATGAATATCTCGTTCTAATACTGAATTCAAAATTGAGTCGAAGAGGTGTCTTTGCCAAGACACTCCAGATAACTAACTTTCTATACAGACGTTGTATCGGAACGGAAACTACTTCATGCAAAGGTAGATTTTCTTATCTATATCAACTTTTATGAGGTCTTTTTTATCTGTATTGGTTTTTTGTGAGACAACTGTAGATTTTTTTTGGCTTTGAAAAAGTTCAGCTTTCACATTATCATCTTATCAGTTGCCTTCACGGAAGCATAGGTAATATATTTATTCAATTACTTTATTTTTAATCAACTAACCTTGATTCTTTTTTTCTTCTAACTCTAAGTCAAATCCCACGTCAACGACATCGCCTTGACATGCTTGGAAAATGATAACTTTTGGTTTTCCCGCCCAGTTTTTGTTCTGAAACTTCTTGACAATCTTGTTGATTTTTAGTTCCAACGCAGAGTTTTTGGTGTGATCAGTGCCACAAACAACTCCGTCCGCTCCGTGAGATGATATAATCAATACTAGACTCTCGTATTCTCCAGTGTTTTCACCTACATCGTCCAACTCATCGTCCATGTTTTTGTCAGTCAAGTTTTCAACTATTTTAATAGCATAATTCATACTTTCAAATAGGCTTTTCAAAACAATTTGGTCGTTTTCTGCGCCGTATCTATAGGGCAATTGTTTAAACTCAATATTGTTTATCATCACAAACAAACCGGAACATTCTGCGTTGATAGGATAGATCATATCTTGTTTGAAGAACGCAGTCAGCTGAAAAAGAAACAGATTGTTTTAACCGGTTCCTTCACCCGCACAATTTTCATTATCTTTTTTATCTTGTTCGTTAAATAGAGCTTGTATTCTTAGATTCAAAGTTATTTGGTTTTATTATAGTCACTAGAGATTTATAAAGGGCGCAAAAAGTATTAATTGTTAGGAACAAAGTTGCAGCTCATGATCTTAAGGGCCCTTTTTAGCTGTTGTTTAGTCATCGCAATTTCAAAACTCACCTCATTTTTGACACCAACACTTTCCTCTCTTTTGACACCAACACTTTTCCCGCTTTCAGCTATCTTGCATGGCTCGGCAGATTCGTCAGCAGCTCTACTTTGCTTAACTGTTTTCAAAAGACGACGATAATCTGTACGATAAACTTCGCCACTGTTTTCATTGGTTTCTTGAACCGCTTCAGTAGGGATTAGAGTATCCCCTTCATTCGGACAATTAGATGGAGTAGCTACAGATTCTTCATTTTTTTCCGGCAATACTAGTTGTTCACCCTTACTTTTCGCTGTAAATTTTATTTTCATTTGATTTATCTTTTCCATCACTCCGTCCGAACTGCTGAAATCAACCCGGACGAGGTTCTCGACTTATGTTTTGACTTTGAAAATCGAGCAAGTGCAGTTTTGTGATTGAAATTCCGCGGTCCAGAAGCGATTTTAAAAACGAACAAAAAGTCGAAACATACCCGATTTTGATCATTTTAAATAAATGTAATTTGGAAACTGAGCAAGAAAAATCAGCTCAAAAAGATACCGCCGTCGAAAAGTTGCAACCAACCCGCAAGTTTCAGAGAGAACCCTATGCCTTTTAGAAATCTAAAGAAAAAATTCCTGCGGCAAGAAAAAGTAGGTTATACTAAAAACTTCTCAAACGTCAATTTTTCACATCAACAGCTTCAGTACAGATTTGCAAAGAAAAAAGAATGAAAAAAAAAGAAAAAAGAAAGAAAAAAAAAGAAAAAAGAATGAAAATTACTTTTCGACGGAGGAATTTTGTATTTTTCTTGTTCTTTTAGTTTAGTTTCAAATCAAGCATAATCACAAAAAACCAACTGAAATGTATACAAAATAAATTTAGTCAAATTACTTGTGTTATTTGATAGTCGATAAAATTGAGAAAGTCGAAACTTATGTCGAGCACTGTCGCGACAAACCAATTTTTGGTCAAGAAAGTCGAAATATAGGTCGAGCACAGTCAAAACATGCCCTATTTTTGTCGAAAAAGTTGGAACATACGTCAAGCACAGTCAAAACATAAGTCGAGCACATTCGAAACACAAGTCGAGCTCAGACGAAATATAAGGTCGATCGCAGAAAAACTTTATAAAAGAGCAATAGAATTTGTCTCAATATATAAGCTGTTGGGTTGAAATTGAAAACTGTAAAACGCCGAACTACAATATTCATGTTTGCAGATCCAAATTTTGAAACGAAAATTTAAACCAGGTGTGTACTTTTTCTGAGAAAAAGTCGAGACAGTCTAAACATGCCCATTTTTGGTCAAGATGTCGAACAATATCTATGCGGGGTCGAATAAATAAACTTTTTGAAAACGTCAGTCGAGACAGTTGAGAAAGTCGAAACATATAGAGTTGTGGCCGAGAACGTCGAAACATATTCGAAGTGGGTCTAACGAAGTCGAACACTTTTTTAGTTGGGTCGAGAAAGTCGAAACATACCAAATTTTGGTCGAGAAAGTCAAAACATACCTGAATTTGGTCCAAAAAGTCTAAGCATTCCAAAATATGGTCGAGACGGTCAAAACATACCAATTTTTGGTCAAAAAAGTCGAAACAAAAATCGAGCACCTCGACTGGGGAACCGATATAGAAGCCGAAGTTGCTTTGCTGCCGCCCTGCTCGTCATCGGGGTTTTGAATCGAATCTTCATCTGGTTTTTCGGTAATCGGTCCAACTTGTTCTGTTTTCTACAAATTAAAACTGGCACTGAGTACAATACACTGAGTTTACTCATGGAATTTGGACTTTGAGGTAAAAAATTAAGCATCAAACACGTTTTTTAACAAAAGTCAATGGATACTCAAGTTCATGAATATAAAAAAATTGTAAAAGACACAAGTTTAGCAAATGATTATGGTTGCTTCTAATGTTGTTGATGCATGCAGTTATCGTGTTAGATTTTACAGGTTAATTATTTTATACGCGTCATTGGAATTATTTTTCTAGGAGTGAAAAATAAAAGGGAGGCTTGTCTATGATTCGATCCCGCAACTACACCTAAAACCCTACGTTATGATCGGTCAAATTATTAGCAGCAGTCCGTAGCTATTTATGCACTGCTGGTTATTGGCTCAAGTTATACAAAAACTGCCTTTTCTAATAAAAAATATTTTAAAAATACATTTTGTACTTTTCTTTCTGATACAGAAAGCAAAGAATAGGCAATGTTCTAGAAGTATAAATGTACCTGTTGATCGTTCATGATGATCGGTGATTATCTAATTTTAATCGGATAATACACTATATCTAGTTTTCTCGTTTTTATCGGAAGCGCGCCCAGCAATTTAATTAATAGAAAAACAAGTGGTATCAGTTTAAAACACGCAAACAACTTGAGAGTGAGTTGTTTCAGTCACACGAAAAACACAAATCAAACTGCTTCTCAGTTTAAAATCAAACCAAACGTTTAGTAAGAGCGCTGTATTCAGATATGATGAATTCAAATGACGACAATTTATTTTTAATCATGAAAAAATCTTTGTCGGTTTTTTTCTAAAACAAGTTTCAGATGCAACTACTATACACGACCACTAAATCGAGAATAACAAACAAGTCGTGTTATGTGTTTTACTGGATTGAGTGGATGATTTTTATTATTACTGCATAATCAATATAAGAAAAGGTATATCTTGTGAAGTTGTAGATAACAAATAGCATGAACACATTCTACAGAAACAACTAATAACGTTTTGTTTTTGCTTTCGCGATTGAAAGTCTGCACGAGCGTTTTGGTCGCGGTATGTTTTGACCATCTGGACCAGAAGTGGCTGTGTTTCGACTTTGCTTAACAATTTTTTTTTTCAACGAAACAGATAATTAATTCCATAAACATGCAAAAAAAATTTAATGAACCCAAAGTTTGAAGCAGAACTTACGATTATTTCTTTTTGATGACAGCTTTTTTTTAAATATACTTTTGATAACTCGTAGAAAATTAACTTCGGGCAAAAGATCACGTATTTTATTCAAGCAAAATTGACCATTGACGTATTTTTTTGTAGCACTAGTTAAGGAACAAAAACAAAACTGCTTATACCACACAGAAAAAATCTCTTGAAAGTTTTCCTAATTTCAGCTCTTTTCATCAACTCTAATTCTCCAGGAATAAAACGTCACTTCTTAGTTCGGATGCGTTATTGTTAATATTTAATGCTGCATAATTGTGAATGGCCAGAAAGTCTTCAAAAATTCTAAAATGCACACCTGGGTCGGCAAAAAATGCCATACTCATACAATTGTCACTCATGGAAAAAATCCTCATCAAACGCTTCCATACTCTTCTAAAGAAGAAAAAAATGTATGAAAATAGCGTGACGAGCTTTTTTCCCATTAGTTGATTTGTATGACCAGTGTTTTTTACGATTAAAAAATTAAATGACTTTGCGTTTTTTACATTAATAGAATTGTTTCACTAAATTTTTTGCATAGATTAGAACAATTTTATTTGTGTGTTTCACGTTATGTTTTTCGTTTTGAAATACAAAATCAAAGATTTTCTCAGATGAGAAAAATAATAGGTTAAACAGCAGCAAAGTTGTAGATAACACAACGTATTGATATTTGCCGAGTAAAGATAATCTGTTCAATTTTTCAAACTTTTATACGAAAAAAAATGAAAAGCAAAAAATAACAATGAAAATTTGGGCCTAGTTTTTGGACACACTTAGGTTACATGTCAATATCTAAAATCGAAAAGAATGTAAGTCTGTGAAGAGACTTAGTCTGGATTGCATTAAAACAAAAACTTGAAATTTTGCATACAAAAAACTTTTTTGGAAAAATAATTACATTGAAATTGATTTAAAAAAAATGAAAACAAAAGAAAACACTTCAATTTTGAATTTTTTTTGAATAGAAAAATTGCTTATATTCAGTTTTTATGAATGAAAATTGTATGATAAACATGTTTACTATTGAAAAAAAAAAGAATCAAAAATATGACAAACAACAACTCTCCTATTCAGCAAAGAACCGCAATAAATTTCTTCGAAATTACCTCAAAACAAATTTGCAGTATTTTGAAGTTTTAGCATGATTGGATACAATGGAAACTGTATGAGAGGATTGCAGAACCGGAAAAACTTATTGGATTGCAGAACCGTAAAAAAATATTGGATTGCAGAACCGTAAAAAGTTATTGGATTGCAGAACCGTACAAAATTATTGGATCGCAGAAGCGTAAAAATTTATTGGATTGCAGAACCGTAAAAAGTTATTGAATTGCAGAACCGTAAAAAATTATTGGATCGCAGAAGCGTAAAAAATTATTGGATTGCAGAACCGTAAAAAGTTATTGGATTGCAGAACCGTAAAAAGTTATTGGATTGCAGAACCGTAAAAAATTATTGGATTGCAGAACCGTAAAAAATTATTCGATTGCAGAACCGTAAAAAATTATTAGATTGCAGAACCGTAAAAAATTATTGTGTTGCAGGACCGTAAAAAATTATTGGAATGCAGAACCGTAAAAAAATATTGGATTGCAGAACCGTAAAAAAATTATTGGATTGCAGAACCGTAAAAAATTATTGGATTGCAGAACCGCAAAAACTTGAAAACAAACTCAGTTCTAGTTAGAACGTTTAAGCTATTGACACAATACACGCTGTAGTAACCAAGCAAACAAAAAAGCAGTTAAAATTGATTTTTAAAACTTCAACAATTGGTTTTGCTTGCAATTTCAACTCTGTACTCAAACACATGTTTCTCAAAATAAAAAAGAACGAGACGAAAATTTTTTTTTGCCCACAACGATGTTCTGTTAGTTCGAAAATTATTTGTGGCTATTATAAGAAATTGAAGAAATTTTCGGCTCCAGTGATGACAGTTATGTGAAGTGCCAGGGAAAAAAACGACAAAAATGTCTGGAAGCAAATAATTTGCCGAAATAAAACCCTGTTCTTTTTACAGAAGTGGTCGAGGCTATACCGAAAACTCTTGCTTAAGAAGTGTTGTATGACGTCTGCATTAAATATATTTTTTTTTGCTTTGGCTTGTTTCTTATACTGATTCAAAGTTTGCTTCTGCTGCGTTTTTACTCCTCTCATCTGCAACAGATAACAATTTATCATTTTATGAATCACACTTAGATTTTCAGCATTATAAATTTTTGGTAAACATTCAGTAGCATTCTACGTGTCATTTTTAATGGAGTACTGCGCATCGACAGGGCCGCATGGATGTTTTGCTCCTTGTCGCATCCATTTTCAAGCGTGAATATTTAAATATATATTCATTATTCTGCATATCGATATTATGAAATTAATACCAGTCAAACTGAAATTGAGAAAAAATGATTTTAATCTTTTAATCATTGATTAAGATCTCTCTTTTTGAAATATAATTCTAATCAAGTATAACATATTTGAATTGGTTAATGATTTCGGTAAAGAAAGTCGCTACATATAACACATATTAATCCATCTATTTTTTGATAAGTTATTTTCAATCGATTATATCCCCTGTTATAATTCAATTATTCACACAAAAATCTATTTTAATCAATTAAAATATTTTTTATTTGACTATTTTATTTTTGATTTTGCATCTGAATTGCTTAGATTTTATGTTTATGTAGGTTTTGGTTCATGTGAAAATGAGTAACTGTTTTGAACTTCCAAACCTTATTATTTATAACCCAAATATATAACGTTCTTATTTTTTTTCCACATTTTTGTCCATTAGAGTTGTTTCATGATGCACCTTTTAAGTTTTTCATCCAACCAACAAACTATTTGCCCATTGCTTTGATTTCATAATTTATTTGGATTATTTTTCTTCCACCTAATGCGCGAACTTTTCAGCTAACATGAAAGAGCTTCTATGAAACTTTTGTTTCGTGGTAAAATTTCGTGTTCAGATGTACCAAAGTGTGAGAAACTTTTAGAGCCTTTGTTATTGACAAAAAAATAATAACCCATCGGAAATAATTTTTAAAACTTTGGTCTAACAAATTGTTGGCAAAGTAAGAGATTATAATTGATTATCAGATATTACAATATCCTGGCAAAAGTTACCATTAAAATCGATTATAAATCATTTACACACCTAATTTTGGTGATAATAATCAATTATAATTGTCAAAAAATTAATATAAAAATCCATTATTGTCGATTACTTACGCTTAAACGCGGATGAGGGTTCCTTTGGTAACGTAATTACTGAACTGCATGTATCTGTTTTTTTTCCAAATTGTGATTTTAGATTTTTAAATTTAATTTTTGAAGCAAGTAGAAAGTGTCCTTTTTCAGGATTATTTATTCAAAACAAATCTTACTATTCTGCCAACTGCATGAAATTTCCAGCAGCGGCTGAGTCATCTGCATTTTATAATGCTCAGAATTTATATCTCAATTGATCCGTATTGTGACCAAAAATTCATAGTTTCTTCTGAAAAAAAGTAGTTTTCTTCCGAAAATTAATATGCAACGTAATATCCTGGAGACGCTTGGCTAGAAGAAGTATTCAAAGTGCTATAATGGGTTTCTATTCTGGGCCACCTTGCCTTTTCCTTTCTTGGTATAGAAAGACTCTCCATTAACATAAAGGCTGACTTGTTTTTTGTTGTATATCGCAAGACGCAGTTTTGCCAGCAAATAGTTGCAAAGAACACCGGAGTCTTCGCGAAATAAAAAGAAATCATATTTCGAAAAAGAAAAGACTTTTCGAAAATATTCTTCTCACAATATAGCCGGCTCCAGTAAGATGAACAACAGATTTTTTGTACTTCCAATAGAAATCCGGTCAACAAAAATTACTTCTGCTGTTTACCAGATGAGCTTTATGAGCGCAACCGGCTAAAAAAACCGCTCAAACTAAAATCTCAAATATTAAGCAATTTTTGAGCGGGATTTCGACTAGGGTACTATTTAAGCTAAGTTATGTACCGCATGGTATCATTTCATCCCATAGAAAATAATATTGGTATCCGATCGCAGCGCGGATGGCGTTTCGGGTTTCAATTTGAGAGCGAAACCATCTTAAAAGAAAGGCATCTGGACCAGAAGGCACATCAGACTCATTAGAGTTCAGAAGCAGCAATGCTGATGAATTCGCCTGTCCCCATGATAGACATGCAGAAGAAGCAAAACAAAAAACCAGATCAAACAGATAAATCTATGTCAAAAAATGCGAAGAAACGTTGACTCGGGAATTAAGCAAAATAGAGTCTGGAAAAAACCAAACTGGAAAAAAAATAAATTCAAAAACCACTGATGAAAATCGTTTTTCTTTTCCTAAACTCATACAGGAAGCCAAAATTCGTGTGAACCAAAAGTTGAACCCAATTTACTAAGAAGCTAGGTTCATTCAGGTCCTTTTTTTAATAGCTCAGTTTTCTCCATGTAAAAGATAGACCAATTTTAAAATGTGAAAAAATTCCTAACTCAATGCAAATTCATTCTAAAAACGCGCAC